GTGACCCTAGACAAGTTATTTAGCCACTTAGAGCCTCTCTTCATCTGCAAAATTGGACAATACTTACAGTACCTACCATTTAACAATGTTGATAAGGGTCAAGTTGCATTATATAAAGATTTTTTAAATATTAAAGTACTAAATAAATATCATCTATCATTTGTTGTAATCTTCCCATTGTAGATTCATTTAAAAGATATAAATCTAATACTTTTTAAATGAAAACAAATTCGGGGAGGCTAAGTGGCACAGTGGATAGAACACTGGCCCTGGAATCAGGTGGACCTTAGTTTAAATCCAGCGTCAGACACGTGACACTTAACTAGTTGTGTGATCCTTGGTAAGTCACTTAACCTTGATTGCCTTGCCAAAAACAAACAAACAAATAAAAACCAACTTTAAAAACCTATTTTTGTTTTATTTTAGGCTGTACCTGTTCTACGAAACACACTTTAAGTATTTAGGATGAATTTATGGCAGAGTATGACTGAATGTTTGCCATAGATATTACAAAGGAGATACTTATATTAAGAGGAAAGTTAGTTCAGAGGAACCCTAAACCCCTTTCCAATCTAAATGTCTGAATATTTTAATTGATCATAATTTCACAGAATTTCAAAATTGCATAGCTGGAAGGACCTGAAAGGTCATCAGGTTCAACCTTTTAATTTCAAAATTTAGATAACTAATTTTCAAAGAGTTTAATTAACTTGTCCATGGCCACAGGGGTAATACATCACAGAGACAGGAATAATTCTATGTTTTTTTCTTTCATACTTCAATGTGTCAAAAATGGAAATTACTTCATCAGTGGAGTTAGCCCCTCCACCAACACAGATCAGAACTTCTCCACTCTTTAGTAGAAGGTCTTCATGAGTTCCTATGGCCCAGAATATTCACCTGCTGGTCAAACTTAGGTTGCTCCAAACTTGTATAGTTTGATGCTTAGGTATTAGACACACAATCGATCCCAGAGATTGTTCTTGACAGCTTTTTCAGCTTGGTGGGACATGTTGGAGTTCATATCTAGCTGGTACAGGCAGATTTGGAGAACCCAGATTAACTTCCATGTCATGAAGAGGGCAGAAAATAATCACTTTAATCCTCTGTGTTCTCAAATAAGGTCTTACTCAGTTTTAAGGTGACCTCTGCTTGGAATCCAGGGAAAAGATAGAGAGAAGAGATTCTTTTCCTCTTCTACATCATGAATTTGTTTTTTTTTTTTTGTTTTGTTTTGTTTTTGCACATCTTCTTCCTTTCAATCTCAGGGTGAAGTGATCTGCCTTTTCAAGCTTAATTCTTCCTATCATGGCCCTAAGTCCATCTTATCTGGTACATGAGCCTACACCTACTCTCTTATGTTTTTGTTCTCTCTCTCCTTACTGCCTCCTTCCCTGATGCCAAAAAATGTCTGACCTCCCCGTTCTTGATCATACTAATACCTAGAACTGTGCTTCTTGCCTCATTCAGTACTCAAATTCTAGAAAAAGTAGTTGGTATAAATACATTCTTACCACTCATCTCCAAACAATTTGGTTTCTATTCCCACCATTCTATGGGGAGAGTTCTTTCAAAAGTTGTTGATGACAACCTGACCTAATTACTGAATTCAGTGACCTTTTTTCCTCACTTTTGAGCCTACTGGATTTCTCTTCAGCAGATAATACTGACCATCTCCTTCTTGATTCTCTCATTTCCCTTGTTTTCTGTGGCCCTGTTCTCTCCTCATTCTCTTTCTAGCTTTCTGACTTGTCTCTCCCTTCTTTATTCCTTTGATGCATCTTCTTCTTTCCTACCTTTAAGTCTGTGTTTCATTCTCCAAAGTTCCGTCTTCACCTCTCATTTCTCCTCTCTCCGAGTTCTCTTAGATAATAATATTGATTTTCCTCAGATCTTCAATTATCACTCCTATGGAGTTAACTCTCAAAAATAAGTTTTAGTTCTTACTCTTCCCCTGAGTTTGTCAAGCAATTCAACAAATATTTATTAAGTTCTCATTATGTACAAGACAGGGTGATAGGCACTGAAGATACTAAATAAAAATAAATGAGAAATACTCTTATACTAAATTTCCATTTTGCAAGAATGTGACCAGATATCTCTTCACATTTATATTCGGTGGGAAAGGGTGACCCTTCCTGGTCACTGCAGGATCAAATAAAACAATAGCTTTTTAGAGTGATTTAAGATTTACAAAACACTTTGTAAATATCTCATTTTATTGTTACAAAACCTCAGGAGTTAATCTTATCCCTATTTTACAGATGAAGAAACTGAGAAACATAAAGAACAGTCAGTTGTACTTGTCTGATTACTTGCATTTCAAGTCCCTACCTCTTGCCTTAATTTGTTTTTGCTGATCCTCTCCCATAGCTTGTCCCTTTGATTTTTCTGTAACCCATTCCTATCATGACTTCTCTCTGTTTCCCCTTCTTAAAGACTGTGTTGATTTCCAACTTAATCTGACCCAGAGTACTTCAAGACCCTCTAAGATAGCATGGTGGAATGGGAGAAGTATGAGAATCTCTATGTTTAAATATGACCTTTGGCACTTACTACTCATGTAACCTTAATAAGTCACTTAATATCCCTGGGTTTCACTTTATTCATCTACAAAATGAGGGAATTGAAACTGGATGGTATCTAGGGATCTTTTCAGTTCTTTATTTTATTTATGATCGTATATGATGATATTTTCTGACATTCACATTCAGGGTCTTTTCTCTATGAAAGTACACTACTGAAAGACATATCCATCTCCAAATCCAAGGTTGATGATGAATGATGATGAATGAATCAATCCATCATTTCCCAACTCAAATATGGTATTCTAATTTCCCTACTTGTGCTGTTGCTATCATCATTCTATCATGATGCTACCATCATTCTTCCAGTCACCTAGTCCCAAAATCTCTGAGTCACTTTTTATTTTACTTTACATTACCTCCTAGATCTAATTAATTGCCAAGATCTATAGATTCTAGATAAAAATATCCTTCAAGTTTTCCCTCATTTCCATTATTATTGCCTCCATCCTACCTACTCCAGAACCTCATTACCTATCACATGGATGATTGATTGTAAGAACCTTGTAACAGGTTAGCTTAGCTCTAGTGTCTTCTTTCTCCTTCATTCTTCATGGGGGGATAAGGAATGAATCTGCTCTTTCATTGATATGGGGAGCTCCCAGGTATAGAAACTCCCTATCAATATAAGGTTAAATGACTTGCCCAGTGTCACACAGCAGATATGTATCAGAAAACAGAAAAATGAATTAGAGTTTTCCAAGCCAACTCTCTTTCTCCTCCTATGCAGAGGTGTTAAAATTCGAAGGCCACAGCAGCAAGCAGACTGCAAACTCTCAAGTTGGGCCTGAACCAGATTAAAATGTAATTGAGAAATGTTTAACAAAATAAATAAAAATACTAGATTACATGGCTTATGTTAATTTGCGGGTTTTGTTAAAGTTAATATGTGACCAACCAACAGGGGTTGGTTTTTATTTGAGTTTGACACCACCACTCTATGCCTCGTTGCCTCATACTTTTCAATAAGTTAATCAACACACATTTTAAAAGCATTTACTGTGTGTTATGAATTGTATAAGGCAGTTAGGGTACAAAGAAAAAAAATGAAACAATCTGCTTCCTCAGGCAGCTTACATTCTATTGGGGAAGATAATATGTGCATATACAAGTATACACGAAATATATAGAAAATAGTTTTTAGAGAGAGGGCACTGGTAGCTGGGAAGTTTAGGAAAAGCTTCATGGAGAAGATAATGCTTGAAATGAATTTTGAAGGAAACAAAGAGTTCTTGGAGGTAGAGTCAAGAAGGGAATGCATTCCAAGGCTGGGAGACAGCCCAGAGAAGGAAAATGAGGAGGTAAGGAAGAACAAGGCCAGTTTGGCTAGAACAGAGAATGTACAAACAGGAATATAATGTATAATAAGAGTAGAAATACAAATTAGGGCCAAGTTGTGAAGGGCTTTAAATGTCAAAGATCTGATTATATCAATATCCTGCTGAAGAGCCTTCGGTGGCTCCCCAGTGACTATAAGAAAGCAAAATATTAATTTCTTGATCTCATCTTTAAGGCCCTATGCAATGTGTTTCTATCCTAACTTTCCAGACTTATTTCACACTATTGTCCTTCATACAAACTATATTCCAACTATTCCCAAATCTCATCTGCAATGGTATCCTAGGTTACTCTATAATCATCATGTGCATGAGTCCCTCAAGTCTTTGTAGAAAGGAGGTCGGGCCATATGAGATTTTGGGGTGGTAGGAGAAAAGACCTCTGGAAAGATGATGAGGAGGAGACTTATGGCTCCATTGAGAAATGGAAGATAAATTAGGATTAGAGAAGGAGTGCTATTTACAAAATGCATTATTATAAACTTAAGGGTATAAATACATGTGTTGTAATATCTACATATATGTATGTGGGAAATATATATGCTTATTTAATAAAAATGTATACATAGGCAGGTCTATCCATCTACCCATCCATCTATTTATCATCTATCTATCTATCTATCTATCTATCTATCCTGAAAATTAGCCTTTAATTGTGGTAGTCTTTTGTGGTCTAGGGTTTTTTTGGTGTGGGACAGATAAATGATATGAGGAAAGTTTGAATGACATGTCTGCATGATTGGTGTGATGAGTAGTATCCCTTTAAAATCTGCTTATATTATGAACTATTCTACTGCAGTGGAATACGTAAGGCACAGAGCCTATTGTATCCCAGTAAAACATGAAACTTATTGCCCAAATCTAGTAGTTTTGTAGCCTATATTGCCCTTAATATATGAAGATGATTTTGACCATGAATGGGAATCTTGGCCATGTTGCTAGTCAATTGCAGATTACATTGTCCTCCCCTTTCTGCCTTCAGGTAATTGCACACATTAACCATTTCTTCACATTCTTGCCTAATAAGTTTTAGTTTTCTTGTTCCTTTTCTCCCCATTTCCCATTCCCAAATGACTAAATGTACCAGACAAATGCAACTGAAGTTACTGAGTTTGTTTTCCTGGGACTTTCTTCTTCCTCAGAGCTACAACCTGTGCTTTTCTTCCTGTTTCTAGTGTTATGTCTCCTGACAATACTAGGAAATGGCCTTATTATCATCACAGTGACCTCTGATCGTCACCTTCGCTCAGCCCCTATGTACTTTCTCCTTTGCAATCTCTCCTTCCAAGATCTTTGCTATTCTACTGTCACTGTACCCAAGATGCTGTCCCACTTGGTCACCCACCACAAAACAATTTCCTTCCAGGGCTGTGTAGCCCAGATGTTGTTCTTGCATTTCACTGGAAGCACAGAGATATTCATCCTCACCATCATGGTGTATGACCGCTACATAGCTATTTGCCAGCCCCTGCACTATGAACTTATCATGAGCCAATGTACTTGCTGGGTCCTGGCAGGGATATCAGTGCTGGGAGGGGTAATCCATTCCATTACACAGGTGGTGCTCATCTTACATTTGCCTTTCTGTGGCTCAAATGAGCTAGACAATTTCTGTTGTGATATTCCACAGGTCATTAAGTTGGCCTGCACAAACACCTTTGCGGTAGGCCTCCTGATGGTTTCCAACAGTGGCTTGGTCACACTTTTGTGCTTTATAGTGCTTCGCATTTCCTGTACAGTCCTCTTGGTGAGAATAAGAAACCACTTGGCTGAGGGAAAGAGTAAAGCCCTCTCCACTTGTGCCTCACACCTGATAGTGGTAACCCTGGTGTTTTTGCCCTGTGTCTACATCTATGCCAGGTCCTTTAAGACATTTCCAGCTGATAAATTGGTCTCCATTCTCTACGCAATCATCACCCTAATACTGAATCCACTTATCTATACCATCTATACCCTGAGGAATGCAGAGATGAAAAATGCTATTAGGAGTACATGGAACTACTCTATCTGAATAGGAAGACAGTCCAGGCAGTTGCTGCTTCCTGACAAAATGCATTGCTAGAAAAGGCATCGTAAGGTGAAACAGAAAAGAAAAATCCTCTCTGCAAACACCCTTCCAGTATTTTGCACTGGATATCCACAATGGAAACTGAGGCATGGTCAGGGAAAAAGCCATGAAAAAAAAAAAGCCTCACTTTTTTTATTAAGCAATGCTGAATGAATAGAGCAGAGAAAGGAAAGTGAGGACTGCCTCCCTAGCCCTATGGAATGTCTCATTCCTTATTAACACTAGAAAGACTGGAATTTAAGAAGACACCAAAAGACCAAGCTGGGTCAAGTGATTCAGTATATTTTTTTTAATCCACAATGTAAATAAAAAGAAATAGGATGAATATTTGTATTTCAAAGTAAAATTATAAAATTTTTGCATCAATTGACATACCTGATGCTTTTAATCTGAGAGTAAAAGAGACTGTTTTCTTGCTGATTACAGGATCTGTATGGATGATGAGAACAGATGAAATCATGGGACTAAATTATACTTGATTCATCACCAATTCAGCAGATGGGAAGATGCTCGGTAATGACCGAATATGGTTACACGGACACATCTTGTAGAAACAGCCCCAAGAGGGCAATAGCAGCCCAGCAACTGAATGTGTCTCTTTTCAGAACTTCATCCTTTGCCAATGTGGTCAGTCCCACAGGGTGATGGAATCATGGGATGGACTTTTACTAAGGAGAACTGTAAAACATCTTTCCTTGAATATCTTTATCAGAAAGGATCATGACCTCTCTCTGGGGAAAGTTTGAGGTCACTTAGAGCCTAGCACAGTGACTTAAACCTTAAAAGCAATTAATAAATGTTTTCTGAATTGAACTAAATTAAATCCTGTCTAATTTGAGAGACTAAACAGCAAGATTAATGCATTTGTCTGAGTTTAGCAACAGGAAAGAGATGGAGTCAAGTCTTGCTTACAATACCTACTAACTATATGGGCATGGGAAAGTTTGAACACATCTGAGATTCAGTTTCCTTGCTTGTATAGTAATTCTTGTACTGTTACTACCCCACAGTTTATTACAAGGATAAAATATGATAATGTGAATGTAAGGCATGATATAAAACTTATGTGAAGATGATGAATGGAAAATGATGATGATTTGTTACACTTAAGTATATTCCATTTTTTAGCTTGAAATCAATTCTATAGAGAGCAGCCATATTTTGAGCAATAACTGCATTTCTTATGGCAAATAAAATGTGCATAAAATAATTAAAATGATAATTACAATTTAAGTTCCTTGAGATCAGGGGCTGTTTTGGTTTTGTCTTTGTATACCCAGTTCAGCACAGTGGCATGGTACATAATAGTTATTTAATAAACAAATATTGATTGTTTGATAATAGCAATCATGTTTATGAAGTTTTGTTTGTGTATAAAACTCAATATCAATATTAGAGCACTTTACAATCAATTAAAATGATTTTTAGAGTACCCATGGTTAACTGGAGGGGAATAGGGAACATTTACCTGGATCATACATTGTTAAAGAGTCTCTCTCAAGCTTGTTTTGTGACATAGGAGTGAAAAAAGACCCAATCCACCTTAAACCCCATATCCAAATATGGTCCATTAACCCTAGTAAAAGAATTTAAATATTTTGTGGTTACTCTTTCAAGTTAAAACAACAACTACAACAAAAATGATATTCTGCATAGCATATTTGTTCTCTAGTGAATGTGAATGAAAAGAAGTGAACTAATCAACATGTGTAATAGATTTTTAAAATTACATAATGCATGTACTTGTAAATATTATTATGTCTAAAACACTCATGCCTCATCAATGGTCATCAAACACTACATTATGGCTGCATGGGAACTTCTACTCTAAATCTGATCATATAGTGACTTGACTGGTGGCTTCTGTCTTAATTAGGCACTTGCATTATATTGAAATAATGACCTAAAACATACTTGTGTTTATACTTTTTCTCCAAAAGTGAGCATGGACCTACTTTTGTTCATTAACAAATATTTAATCAATTACATACAGAAGCACACAGAGGTTCATGGATCTGAGTTGGAAGGGACCTCAGGGAACATCTAGATTTGAGTGTGAATCTCAACTCTGGTTATTTATTACCTGTGTGACTTTTGACAAGTCACTCAAACTCTCTGAGACTTGTTTCTTCATTTACAAAATAAGGGATTCCAACAGATGATATCTAAAGTCCTTCCTCAACTATAGCTCTAGCTGTAACCAAATCAATATTACCATTCATGGAAATGATGTGTCAATCACTGTGTCAACCAATGACTCTAATCACCATTCCTGTGAATTCTGTGTCCAAAACATCCCTTCCTGGCTTCTACTCCTTTCTATATTGTGACATCCTATTTGGATGCAAGTTTCTTGAGGTCAGGTGCTGTCTTGCTAGCTTGCATTTGTATCCATAGCTGTGATACTTCTAAGCATGTAATAACTGCGTTTTTCATTCTCCACCATCACTCTAGAAGTCTATTCTGAAATTATTAAAGCAGACATTTATTAATAATAGAAGACAGGTAAAATAACTTTACACATATCATCTAATTTGAATCTAACAATACCCTTTATGTACTATACAGTATAAATATTATTAATTCTACTTTTACGGGTGAAGAAACTGTGGCTCAAAGAGACACTTGTTCAATCACGTAACTAGTAATCATAGAGCTGAGATCTGAACCTGCACTTTCTGCCTATAAATTCATTATTGTCTTCATGATACCACAGTGGCCTGGTACAGACATACCGCTGATTAATGTAAAAGAATAATTTAAAAGGTACTGTACTCACAATGTTGCCTATACAGTTTGGTGTTCTTTGTTATTCTAATACTCACAACTGAATAACTAAATACTTTGGCAACAGAATTTCAAAACCTAACAACTTCACATAAGGAAAGAGTGATTATACCACAGTTCATCCATTAATTTATTTATGAACATACATGTGCATATAAATATACATATATATGCATATATACATGCATACAGTTGTAATCATATACCTACAATTATATAATTACAAAGTATATGTACATTATATATAAACACTTCATAAGCTTTAATGTGCTGTAAAGTTATGAACTATAATTACCTAAATAGTATTTAGGTTCTTCAAGCTACAATATACAAGGGATTTCCATGGTGCCAAGCATTATGTCAGTTCTTGGTAATCATTGAATTGAAATTTTGGTGGACATAAAAGGATTAGGAATTATGTGGATTCTTGGTCTCAAAAATTCAATTCAGTTCAAACACAGTAAGCTTCTACTGGATGTTACATTTTGTGAAGCACAGGCAAAGATGAATACCTTAGATGAGATATTACTGCTATCCTCATAAAACTTATAGTCTAGGGCAGGGATGGGGGAGATAAGACACAGAAATAACTCTGTTACATAATATTTCATAGGAAATACATTATGCAGGACTGAAATAAAGTGCTATTTGAGAGCAGGATGGGGAATAATTATTTACAAGGGGTATTAGAGACTGTCTGCTGGTGGAGGTGCATGTCAGCTGACTCCAAAGCTAGGCAGGAATTCATCACATAAAGGGTAAACAAAAACATGGACATAGGAAAGAATAAAACATGTTTGAGAGACAGGGCAAAGTCCAATTTTTCTGGAATGTGGATTATTTGGAGGGAAATAATATGACTGAGAGAATCAGCTTTTACCAAAGGTACCAAATTGTGTATGTTCTTGAAATTTGTATTTTAATTAGTAGATGACATGGAAACTATACTAAAAATATTGATAGGGACTGGACCTGTGATTTCATTGGTATAAGAAACTTCAAGGTAAGAACATTGCCTCACTTGTTTAACAATGTCTCTGAAACTTAGGTCTTAGAGTGGCCTGAAAAATTGAAAGGTTAAGTGGTTTGCCCAGGGTTGACCATACACCAGGATGTATCAAAGATGTGATGTGAACCAAGGTTCTCCTGGCTTTGAAGCCAACTCTATCCATCATGCCATGCCACATAACATTGGTCCTCTATCTTCTATTATTCTTGAAATAACTGGCAGAGCGGCAGCGTGACAGAGCTAGTCTGAAAGTCAGGAAACCCGAACTCCACACATATCACTGAGATATACTAGCTGAAAGATCCTGGACAAGTCGTATAACTTCTCAGCACCTTAGGGAATTTTCTAAAACTGTAAGTAGATGGCTTGTGTTGTCTCTCCTAACTGAATCTATGATATTGCAATTCTAAATTGCAGAGAAGGTTCTAGAAATTTCCTCATTGGGAGTTCTCAATACCAGGAAAATTGAAGTCCGGTTGTTATTTTAATGCACAAAATAGCTAGGTTAATTTAACAATAAAAATTCAATTATAAATTTCCTTAAAGAGTAAATATAGATGGAATCTTGCCAATAAAGTTGTATTCAGGATCTATTTTGTGAAACTGCCTTGTAGGAGTTGCCACCTTATAAAAGGTCCTTTCACTACTTCATTAGGGTCCATGATAGATTCACATTTTATGGAAACAGCACATTCATTCATCACTTCCATTGTTAATAGCTCACATTTAAATAATGCTTCAAGTTTTGCAAAGCGCTTTCTTCACACAGCCTTAGAAGAAGAAACTAGATGACACAGTACATAGAGCGTTGGACCTGGAATCAGGAATACCTGAGTTCAAATCCTACCTCAGACACTAACTAGCCATGACAATCTGGCCAAGTCATTTACTCTCTTTCTGGCTCAGTTTCCTCATTTGTAAAATGTAGATAACAAAAGCACCTACCTCTTAAGGTTATTATGAGGATAAAATGAAAGGTATTATTTGTAAAGTGCTTTGCAACCTTAATGCTTTATATGAATGGAAGGTATTATTATTATTATTAAGCCCACACTCCTCATATGGGTATTGTGATGATGAAATGAGATAATACATGTAGTCTTTGTAAAACTTAATGTGCTTTATAAGGATTTTTAGAGAATATCAT